GCATGTTATGGAGAATTCCGGGAGAACTTTCTCGCAAGTTTTTACGTAATCCACGATGTTAGGCCTCGGAACTGGGCACGATTTACAGCCGCAACTGCACCGCAGTGGCGAGATGTTAACTACCTCGCCTGGTATACAGGAGGTTGTGGGTCCGATCCCGACCGTTGACTCGTGTGTATTTGGAGTTTAAATGTTCTCGCCATGGTCGCGTGGATTTTTATCCAGGTCCTCCGGTGTCTCCCTGCATAATTATAAACATGCGCTTACAGTATTTGGCTGCTATAAATTTCCACGTTATGATAAGCCACTTCGTTGAGCTATCAATTGTTGGCAAGGTTGCTTCTGAAAAAGAGCTGCATAGCTCAGTGGGGCCTTGCCTCGTGAAATAAAATGATAAAGTAAAATAGTATTTTTTTCCTTCTTTAATCCCGAACTTAAGTTCGACTCGGATTAGTCAAGTAAACAAAGTTCACGTGCTCTGTGGCCAATTGTGGGCCTCTGCTCGTCATGATAGAATTGCTGCAAATGCCTGGAAGAAATGGGCTTCAGTCACGTGTTCCCTCTGAAGTAATGAGAGGCATTGCATTTCCGGCGGAGCAAATGTACAGACGCTTTCACAACTCAATGTGGAGCCACGTTGCACAATTGCAAGAGAGTATTTGTTTAAAAAGAAAAACAAAGCTTGCTGACCCAAAATAGCCTGTTGTGTGTTAGTGTTGTCGGACGGACAATATATCAACAATTAAAAAAGTCTAAAATTATATCTTACCCTTTTTCCCAGTTGTATTCAAATTATGCTATTTGTGTCACACTATCAGAGTGGTCAAGTCAGAACTCTTGCAGAAAGTTGCATCACCCCGTGTGTTTGACAACAGCCCGTGGACGTAGATAACGCAGAACTACTTACTATATGCCCTGACGAAATCTTTACATCCACAGACTAGGGAGGGTAGGCACTGTCTCAACACCCCGTTACATAAACAGATGAATGTTTGCCGCACAGGCAGTCAAAGCAGTATTTGTAGTTTTCGGAGCTGGAGTTTTGACAAAGAAGTATGAGGCTGAGACCATCAACTCGTTACACTTGAGGTTGCTGCCCAAATTTAAACGCAGGATTTCGGTAGCGATGGCTCAGTGTTATGACCCCTGCTCTCTCCCCAATCACCACATTAGTTTTAAAGGTCAAGGTGTGCCCGGTCCACAGGGGATCACGAATATAGAATTACTCATTTAATGAGGAGGGTCACAGCGGGGTCTAAAATACTCGTTCCCAGGAAGATCCCACATTGGGTTGGTTGACCAATACTAATGACATCGTGGCGGTCGATTTTCGTATCATGGGATGACACCATAGAACCTGGAAGGATGCCATGACAACACCGGAGGAGAGCGTACAAAGCTCCACACACACGGAGGTCCTGCTTGCTGCGAGTATAACGAGTGGGGGCGCAGCGGTGATGAGATGTTAACTCGCTCGCCTTGTATGCAGCAGATCGTGGATTCGATCCCGACCGCTGACGCCTGCTGCTGTATATTTGGAGTGTTCGTTTCTCTCTCCCCCCGTGGTCGCGTGGATTTTTTTCTCGGAGTCCTCCGGTGTTTCCTTCCAAATTTAGAAACAAAATACGTTGCGAGTATTTGGCTGCTGCTATGCCATTTCCACGTGATGAGCCACTTCGTTGAGCTATAATTTGTGATTGCCATGTCGCTTCTGAAAAAGAGCGAAATAGCTCAGGGGGCCATAACCTGATAAAATAAAATAAAACGTTTAGTTTAATAGTTTCATTGTTAACTGGCTCTCTCTCTCTACATATCAGACATGAACAATATTCCCACGGATCACGCAAGGGGGCTCTAGAAAAGGGCTCATCTACAGCATATTTGGCTTTCACTTCCACGCTGGCTCGGACGTCTTGGAATAAATACATAGAAAAGCACCCGCAACTTTAACCCACCAGACGCGGACCTGCCTTGCAACTCGCATCGCACCCATTCACACCGTTTTGGTTGGGCAGAGGCGGCTTTCAACTGCCGCGTCAGGACATCGTACTGACGCGGGCTGTATTACAAGTCCGGGTTGCGCTATTCTTGCGTTCGGCGTCTTGCGTTAGAATTAACGACGTCCATTTCGGCCAGATGACAGGGTGGCATTAAGTCTCGCGTTCAACGTGTGGCACGAAAACACCGTGACAGGTGGAGACCACCGCGAGGAGGGGGACCCAACCGTCTCCTCCCATATTCTTAGGTTTTTTCGGTAAAGTCACGTAGGTAAAACATTTTAATTAATAAAAGTAAAAGAAAAAGAAAAAAGAAAAACGTCGTGATTTTTTTATTTTACTTTTATTAATTTACATTTTTTACCTACGTGACTTTAACGAAAAAAACCTAAGAATATGAATCCTTGCAGTCACGAAAGCTTCAAATCTAGAATCAACCGTCTCCCGCCCCACCGAGATATAAACACGGGGGTGGGATGGGTGGGATGGGTGGTGGTGGTATTGGCCCTTGTGAAAGGCGGGCGGGCGGGCGGGGGGGCGGCGCAGCGAGCAGGGGACGTGGCGTCGAGTCTCTCTAAAGACGTCAACTCAACAGCTGTCCGCTGAGCGAGTTGCTCGCCGCAGAATGCGAGCACAGAGGGCAGCACCACGTGACTGGTATCCGCCCTCTCAGGGTTGTCGGCTTAACGGAACGGGCTATTTTTTTTATTTAACCAGGTACGCTACCACTGAGCTATGGAGCGCTCTTCTTTTCGTTCTTTAGAAGTGGCATGGCCACGAATGATAGCTTAACGAAGTTGGCTTACCATGTGCACATTTACAGCAGCCAAGGACTCTACACGCGTGACGTTGCGTGTGAGAGCATGCGCATCGTTGCGGTGCAGAAATACCCTCCCGTCTGTGCAAACGCACAGAACCATTTATGTTTCATTTTACCAGGTAAGGCCCACTGAGCGACCTGGTCGCAAATGATAGCTCAAAGAAGTGGCTTATCACGTTGAAATGTATAGCAGCCAAATACTCTAAACACACGTTAATTCTAAAACGTGGAGGGGAAAAAACTGGAGGACGCGGAGAAAAATCCACGCGACCACAGGGAGAGGCACGCAAACTCCAAATATACAGCAGCAGGCGTCAGGGTCGGGACCGAACCCACGACCTCCTGTATACCAGGCGAGGTAGTTAACATCTCCGAGTCGCGTTGCACCCGTGCCTCCCCACTGTTTTTCAACCTCAGAGTCTCCCGATCTCCGAAGCGATGTGACTATTATACGTAACATCCATGAAGGGTTATGTCGAGGCAGCTACAATGTATACATGTTTATTTAGATTATTTTCGCTGCTATAAATTTTCACGTGATAAGCCACTATGCTGAGCTATTATTTGTGACCAGGTCGTTTCTGAACAATAAGTTAATAGCTCAGTGGGCTTTACCTGGTAAGATTTAAAAAAAAATGTTTCTTTAAACTTTAATATTTTTTGCAAGTGATTTGCTTACCTTTCCAATACGATGCACTGCTTTCGTCTTCACGTATCGTTTTGTTGTTGTAACTTTTTTTTCACCCGCCCCTACTGCTCATCGGATTCCTCCAGCTTAAATATTCCGACATTAATGTTTAGAGAGCGGCGAGTGCGACAACTTTGGCGTTGAACGATCCACGTGGAGCATGGCAGTCCCCACGCTTCTCCCCCTCCCCCCAATCACTACCCCCTTCTAGATACAATCTTGGCAAGTTTCTGGTTGCTGTCGGAAGATAATATTTCAAGAAGCGCCTCGCGATTACCGCCAGGGATTTTTTTGTGTGTGTCGCTCGCGGAACCAAAGCGCGAGTCGCGAGGACTTGGCGGCGTGCCTCGCGAATAGAGAAGCCGTTGCACAATCCTTCCGACGGTCGGGTGGGCGGGGGGGACATCTGACGCCTGGTGCCATCGTGGAGATAACGAGGATACGTTGTGAGGCTCAGTGAAAGCGCGGTGGATTAACGTGTACCCTTGATTTATTTTTGTTTTACTTGACAAACGTAAAACTATAAATTAAACTTTTTTTATTTTCCCAGGTAAGACCCCCCCCCCCCCGCCGCTGGGCCTATATAGCTCTTTTTTTAAATCCTTTATATTAAGTTCGCTTGCTTGCGTGCTTGCGTGCTTGCTTGCTTACGACTGTGCAAATCTTTCGGTCGTTTTTTAACCCACTTCTCGTGATCCAATCGAGCTGACATTTTCCACACAGACTCGTTGTGCGTGACAATTAATTTTCTTGAACATTTTTTTCCAAAATTTTACACTGTTTATGGGAAAAAATATTAAATTACCAATTGCTTAATGGTGGCAGACAATCATCTGACCCATAGGTGGCAGCCATCTCAAGCCAGAGGACGAGAGGACTCTAGCCGCCACGCATATAAAGGATTTATAGTGAAAAACTTTGCTTTTACGGGTTAATTATTTTCAGAAGCGACCAGGCTATATTGCAAATGATAGCTCAACGAAGTGGCTTATCTCGTGGGAAATACATAGCAGCCAATACTCTAAACGCGTGTGTTTTTTTTAATGTGGAGAGAAAAATTGGGAGGACTCGAAGCAAAATTCCAAGCGACCACGTGGAGAAACACGCAAACTCCAAATATACAGGGCGTAATGGTCGGGATCGAACTCACGCCGCCCTCCTGTATATCACGCGAGGTAGTGAACATCTCGCCACGGTGGTGCCCCAAATGTTGTGTAGGTGTGGGGGTTGCAATGTGGCGACGTGATGGCAGTGCCGAGTGTCACCCCGCTCGTGTGCGCGGGGTTTCTCCGGTGACTCTGGTTTCCGACCACACACCAAAGCCTTCTCTATAACAGACTCGCCAAATATATACTCGAAAGGAGGGCCCACCTAAAAAAAAAACCTTGAGACTCAGCCTTTCCCGAGTAAACAATTGACACCATTACACTTCGGGAGAGAACATGATAGCAGTAATATTTATAGAAACCAAAAAAAACACAAAGGATTACCAGTATCCATAATAATTATATTCTTTTTATTCCTGGGTTTTATTTTTCTCTTCAAAATGAAATAATCATAAATCACGTGCATTTTGATAAGAGGTTGTTTTTTGTTGCAAAATATGTACTCTCTCTCTCCGCAAATCTTAAGACTCGGTCGCATTCAATCATTCATGAGCAAAACAAATACGGGTCATAAAAACGAGTCAGAATCCGACTGAAAATACGTTCAATACAGTGTACGTTTGTAACAGTAATAACTATTGCACAATAGATTACATTATTACAAAAAAATCACAAATTACAAAAAAAACAAGACGATAAAGTGAACTAAATGAGAAGCTCTAAAGTGTATAAATAACAATAATTTGCACTTGTAAAAAGGCATCTTTCGCAAAACAGTCTCAAGGCACGGTTAGCAACAATATAATCATTAATTTGAGCTTACGGAGTTCATGTCACACACACACGGGCCTTGTTAACAATGTGCAAGCACACGAGACCGATTGCAGTTTTCACATCTTGATCGGTCTCGATGGGCCGAGATCACGGACTGATTTTTTTCGCTCCCTCTTAAGGCCCCACCACGCGTTTTCTGACGCGGTCGGTGCCCAGAGAACCCTTTGACCCGCCCTGTACCATCGCTCCCAAGGCCACGCAACCCGTCGCCCTAGCAAAACAGCAGCCCGTCCCGTCACTCGGTAGCCCTACCCCACAGAGGGCGTCCAGGTCTGACCTTCAAACCTTCGCTTCGCATTTACGTCACTCTAGACCAGTGGTTCTTCTTATTCTTCTTAACCTAGGGTGGCACGGCCAGATTTATTTTAAAAAGGCAAATCGTCGAAACACAAATTAAGCAGGGGCACGTAAGTAACAACTTACTTTGTTTCACCCAAACCAATGCATTTATTAACATTATTTAAAAAAACATAATTAACGATTGAGATCGAAAGGGGTGCAAGGCTGCTGCAAAAGTGAAGAACCACTGCTCGGATTCGAAAACTCATTCCTTTAAACTGCATGTTGTGTCCTGCCCCCCGCGCCTCCGACTTAACACGATTGGCAACGCGCAGTGCCACACGAGGTTCGAGGTGCGCGCGTGTCCGTCAACGCTCGCCGGTTTCCACTTCTCGCCGCAGTTTCCGTAAACCCGTGTTGGGCGCAACCCCGCCTATTGCATTTTACCCAAAACGAAGCGCGCAACAAAACGAACCCCCCCCCCCCCCCTAACGTGCACCGGGAAAATTAACCCGTAAAAACTCAGTTTTTCACTATAAATCCTTTATATGCGTGGCGGCTAGAGTCCTCTCGTCTTCTGGCTTGAGATGGCTGCCACCTATGGGTCAGATGAATACCTGCCAGCATTAAGCAATTGGTAATTAAATAAATGAATAAATCCTTAAAAGTTTAACATTTTGGAAAAAAAATTCACGAAAATACATTGTCACGCACAACGAGTCAGTGTGCAGAATGTCAGCTCGATTGGATCACGGGAAGTGGATTAAAAAACGACCGAAAGATTTGCACGGTCGTAAGCAAGTGAACTTAATATAAAGGATTTAAAAAGGGATTCGTGCATCAGGTACAGCGGAAGGTGTTGGTGGGAGGGAGTAGGGGGACGACGAGGGTGGTGGCGGGCCCAGCGAAATCCATCATTCTTGTTCTTGGCCCAGGCGTGCGAGCTACATCGGGGTCACGCTCGGGAGTCAAAGCGGCCTTTATGCCACGGGTTTCATTCGTGCCGATGCTCGGTCGTAATTACAGACGGCTCGCGTGCGCACGCACGCACGCACGCACACACAGACACACGCACGCACACACGCACACACGCACACACGCACGCACACAGACACAGACACACGCACACACACGCACACACGCACACACGCACACACACAGACACGCACACACGCACACACGCACACACACAGACACGCACGCACGCACACACGCACACACGCACGCACGCACACACGCACGCACACACGCACACACGCACGCACGCACACACACAGACAGACACAGAGGCGGCTTCACTCGGGAGTAGAAATAACCACGACCGCAACACGTTACGTCCAAACGAGCGTCTATTTACGTTCTGCACCAAGCTTCATATACCGGCTGTGAAGGAACCTACTGGGTTCACTCATGGAAAATGTCATCATCATCATCGTGGTCGTCATCGTCGTATTAAGCATCGTGCTTGTCCCAACGTGCACCGAGCGTGGCACAAGCCGCTGTGGCGATTTCACTGCAACTTAGTGGCGAACGGCTGGTGTTGTTCATTTCCAGTATAGACTCCATACGGAGTCTGACATTTGTTGTGTAGCCATTACGGTCAATTCTTCTTGGTTCATTCGGTAAAGTCACGTAGAATGGAAATAATAAAATAATAAGAATAAAACATAATATGTTTTTATTGCTTTTTTATTTTATTATTTCCATTCTACGTGATTTTTATTTTATTTTTTTATTTCCATTCTACGTGACTTTACCGAAAGAACCAGGAAGATGAATCCCTGCAGTCACGAAAGCTTTAAGTCGAAAAATTACGGTCAATTGTTTTAAAGTCAGGTTGTTTGACGATGAAAATCAGTTTTCATTTCTATTAATACGATCTAAATTAAACCGTGGTCGATTCCAATCATTTAAATCGATATGCCAACTTCACAACGTTTTGTATCCGTAAAAATACGTTTGCAATCCGTGGGCCTAACTGCCCTTCCGGGTTGAAGTCAATTACAATTCACCGTTGGTAATTGTAAGCAAAGAATATTGGGGGGGGGGGGTGAGCAGAGGCTGACTGTCACAAAGACAGATCCTTTGGACAAATGCCGATCTCGACCACTCGACGCGGTCCAGGCTTTCACGCCGAGCGCGAGAACGAGACCCAGCAAGCGCAGCAAAGCAGGCGACGCTTCAGTGGCCGAGATGGCAGAAAAACACCGCCGAATGACCCAAGCCGTCACGGCGGCGCTTAACACCCCCCTCTGTGAACACGGCACGGCGAATGAGAAATCGTTCTGAAGGCGATCTTCACACACCCCCCCCCGCCCCTCCTCTCCAGCTTTCCCCAGCGCCACGGCAACTTGCCGCATCTCCTCGCAGCCCTTTGGAGGTAGAGGCCGCCACAGGCTTTAGGGTCGTCAGGTGACTCCAGCCTTGTACATCCACTTTCCTGCGCTTTGTTTTAGACTTTTTGTTTTACTGCGAGGTTTTTATTTTCTCCACATACCCCCTCGACACACACACACACAGACGTGCGTGCACCAACGGTATCGAGTAGTCACAATGATAACAGCGCCACAGTAACGGACCATGCGCAGGTTTGAGGCAATCAGCTGTTGTTGTTGTTGGGCGCATTTATTTATTTCATTGCACGTGCTTGATAACGCCGCATTTTGGAAGACATTCCCACTTCAGTGACACCTCGTCACAGCGTGCGCGTGTGGAGGGGGGGGGGAGAAGAACTCCTGTATCTTCCTACTCGATAGTGAAATTGCTTGATGTGAAAAGGACAAGAGAACGATGAGAAAATATGACGAGACACGGATGACGAAAAGTGTCGAATGCTACCAACCCTACAGGACTGACAAACGAAATAAATCAACCACTTTGGTTTCACTTCATCAAAACAGTCAAGATCACCCCCCCCCCTCCCCCCGATCTCCGCCTCGTTCAGCCCCCGGCTCCAACACCACCCCCGAAGACCATCACGACCACCACGAGTTTCATGGCCGGCCCCCTTCCCAGTCCCCCCCCCCCAACACCTGGAGGTGGCGACCAACCTGCTGCTTCTGCTGCTAAAACTAAACCATTGTTTTACTTTCGACGCATGATGTTGTTCCGAACTAAACTGTGGAGGGAAAAACCGGAGGACCCGGAGAAAAATTCACACGACCACGGGGAGAGAGAGACACACGCAAACTCCACATATACAGCAGGCGTCACGGGGTCGGGATCGAATCCACGACCTCCTGCATACCAGGCGAGGTAGTTAACATCTCGCCACCGTGGCGTCCCCCCTCGGATTCCTCCTCCAGCCGAGCAGGAACTCAGATTCAGAGCTGCTGCCCCCCCCCTTCCCCGTTGGGCTGGTCACTCGGAAGAGAGCCACGTGACCATCAAACGGCTCGCGCTGAAGAGGCCTCAGACCCAGTCACCCGAAGCATCTCGATTGTTCGAAGCGAAACAAAAATCAACCCCGCCCGTACCCAAAACAGCAGGACTAGATATAAAATTGGACCCCACCCCGACACGTGTTGCAGTGACGTCATATGTGATTGTGACGTCACATCTAGCTGTAGCGTCACAGCGCGACGCGACCCAATGGGCTGCGCCGCAGCGTATCCCATTGGCTGCGTGGCCTCGCTGGTACGAAGGGGGGGGGGAGAAATACATTGTAGCTAGCGCCAGTTACCAAATAACTAGCAAAACTGCAAAGTCACAAGGTTAATATTGAAATGTACGTTGAAAAATTAACGTGCAATTTTGATTTGTGTATTACATTGTTTTACGTAGTGAATCGCGTGGATGTGAAGGGTGCGTTGATCTGCTGAACGCCGTGACAGAGATGCGACCTCGTGCAGCACGATACGCAACGTTGACCGGAGAGACACATCGGCAAAGAGCTAAAGTCGCGTACATTTTTTTTTCAGACCTTAAAACAACTCAATTACGCTCTAGAAATATACGCCTTGTTTTTTGTTCCATTTCATTCTGTGTACACACACATATACATAGCACAAATTACCCAGTCCAGGTCGTATTAAGCTATAAATATGCTGGCCAAACAAAATCTGCCAGCCAAACGTGAGATCGTTGTTGGGTCACAACGTACAGCTCTTAATTGTAATCGTAGCGCCCAGTGCGCCAATGCTTTTAGCCGCGACCACCACCACTCAAGTGTGTGAATTAGAGATGGAAAGCTATTTATAACTTCCACCCCCCCCCCCATCACCACCACCGTTTCCCCCCACCCACCCCCATGGGAGGGGGTAGGTGGTCGGGGGTGGACGCCAATTCGAACTCAGAGTACACCTGGCCGGGACAGCGGAAAGACTTATCACGCTACCGGGCCCTACCGTAAAAGGAGAAACTCGCAAAGATTAGGATTTGCGTGCGTGCTCGACAGCAGCTGGTTGCCTCAACGTCTCGAGCGGGGGGGGGGGGGGTTGTCCCCGCACGCGGCTCTCCGTTCGGCTCGATGTCCGACGTTTCGGCACACGTGCTGCTGCGGGACAAAACGTTGAATTCCTGTAGCAGCACGTGGAGCGAAACGTCGAGGGGGGGGGGGGTGTGGTGCTGGGTGGGTGGGTGAACACACATCGTGCCGAACGACGCGTGGCGGTACGACCCCCTAAAAGCAACCGCAGCGTCGTTTGACGAAATCTGTTGGCGTTCTGCGTTTGTGTCCGACCGGCGACCACTTGTGGACTCGTGCAAACACCGGCGGTTGAACCCGATCCGGCGAACGCACGCGCACACACGCACGTGCACGTGTGTGTTAAGTGTCACTACGCCGACTGAGTGAGCGAGCGGAGAGCGTGCGTGTCTATTGTGCACGCTCGTGCCACACAGCGACCAGTGGGTTTGACGGGCTCACAAGGGCAACGATGTTGATCAATTGCAATCTAACGCACGGTTTGCTTTTAGTGCCAAGGTTTCGCTGCCCGCTGCCCCCCCCCCTCCTCCTCCAACCACCAACACCCGCGAACACAGACGCGACCGTTCGTTCGTTCACTCGTGCGTGTAGAAGTGTGCACGCGAAGGTAAACAAACACGGGCGCAAAGCGCACAAAGACAAAGATCCCCCGCGTGAAGCCTTGGCTGTTGGGGCAAGTGCAAGTTTAGCGAGCACCCTATGAAGGCCGGAACGGCACACGAGTGGGGTGGGTGGCCAGCACCACGCCCGACCGCCTTTATCTCCCCAGTGGCGATGTTTACACACCGCACCAGGTACTCGTTTGAGTCGACCTAGGGGAGGCACGGGACCGGTTCAGATAATCGTCACTGGTGTTGGCCGTGAGCGGGAATTGAACCCAGGTTGCCGGGTTCATAGCGCTGCGCGTTAACCACCACACAACCGCTCCCCACACACACACACATGAGTGTGCGTGTCTGTGTGCGTGTGTGTAAGCACGACCTCTTTAAAATGAAAATCGAAGATCGTTCCAACGCCCAAAATCGACAAAACAACAAGTGAAAACTTCTGTTTTAAACCGACTTCTCCCACCGGCCCTCTCTTCATCCACACGGGGACAGAATCGTCGTGGATTTGTTTTTTGCATAAATTGTGCACAGGGAAAACTGAAAAACACAATTGGAGTTTTAATGCTCAAATCTAGCAGCCAGCCCCTTCACTTGGGTTCATTGCACAGGGCGCGAACGCAAACGAGAGACATGGTTTTATCGGAGCCAAACGTGTCCATGTCATTGCACAGACCCGCGGTGTCCAGTTACATCTGTAAAAAAAATTAAGAGCATTATAGCTCATCGGAATCCTCCAGTATAAATACATATTCTGTTTCTGACAAGGGGGGGGGGGGAGGAAGGGACGTTGCAAGAGTCGGCGTTCATTTCCCAAACAAACTGCCGACAATGAAGATTTACCAAGGAGCCGGGAATCAAAAACATACCGACATATCAATTATAAATAGCCAAATCGATTATTGAGAGTCTCGGATGTTTAAACGAAGGCCAAAGTGGTGCGAGGCGGCCGGGAGAACTGAACTGTACCGTACCCGGCAGCTATTCCCGATCACTGCAGATGGGTGCTGCTCTGTGGATATACGGTGACATTCATGACCGACTGCGTTTGTAACCGTGTACTTCTAGCCAGAGGTAAAAAAAAACGGTTGTGGGTTTTTTTTTCCGTAAGGCACTCGGGAGGTTGTGGGGTGGGGGAGCGGTTATCTTCCTTGTCAGCGTGGATTCCATCTAAATGTAACCCACCTAAGCCTTTGAAACCCCCCTCTTGCTGTATTAGCTGTACCCCCAGAGGGGCGGGGGAGAGGCATACACACGAGATGATTCCGTGTCATCCCACCGTAATAGAGGCTGTCTATTGGATATGAAACGTCAGCACGTGGTGCCGAAACGCGAACCTTGGCAATCATCACTGTACAATTTTTTTTAATTGTGTGATGCATCGATTGATAAGGGTACGCTCGCACAAATACACCCGTGTGAGAAACCGTTATCTGTGGGACCCCCATTCTCCTGCCAGTAGCAATATATAAAAAATTGCCTTAGCACTCACCGGCACGAACAACAAAGCGGTGTTAAGATGTTCATACGCCAGATAGACACGTCAATTGCAAGGCATCGAGTCTGCGTCAACCACACATTGTGCGTGTGATGAAAACAAACCATGCAATTGAAGGCTTTAAAGTTTAGAACACGTGGGAGGGCTTTCGCGACCAACATCATCCATTAGAGGTTTTTGGGTTAGATCGTCTATATATACAAAGGCGTCATTAAGCCCTCCACCAAGCGGCACAGCCAACTAGTAACGTATGTCACGTAAATGCCAATTCGTTACTAGATCAGCACACACCGGTTAGTGCTGTACTACTGACGAATTGGCACGTTCAATTTACGTGACAAACCTTACTAATTGGTCGTAAGGTGGTGGCGGGTTTAAGGACACATTTATATTTACGCGATCGAACCCAAAAACACTGTTATGGATAAAGACCATAATGAAGGCCGTCTCTGGTATAGGCCAATCAGTTTCAAAGACAATGTATACATTTTCAAAGCATGTCGCAGTTGCAAGAGGCGTCAATTCGGCGTTTCAACATCTTTAAACACCTCCTGTATTATTATCAGAATGGCTAAAATAAAATAAAAATGTTTTTCGAATTGTGTAGCGTTGTATGCTTGGAAATTGGTTAACTTCACCGCCACGTACAAAAAAAAAACCTCCACAAGTAAAACAAATTTGTCTCGAAACTGCGTTCTTGCTCTGAAGAACGCTTAAATTATAGCCTTGCCGTGTTCAATGTAGAATGTGAGCTAATGGCGCCCACGTGAGAGATATAAATAAAATGGTGTTGTCCCCATTCGTGTTTGTTGTTTGCACGCTCGGATTTAGAACGCAGCGAGGGGACCCACTGGCAGAGCGCAAACGCAGGGGACTGCTGCATCCTTCCAAGCGGAGAACGGCTGCGTGACAATACGTTGCAAAACCAAGGCACACGGCCATTTGTGCATTACGTAACAACAAAAAACAGCATATCCTGCATAAAAAAAATGGCAGTCGTCCTCTTTGCCTTAGGTCACCATCAGAATACATTTGAGCACGCGTGGCTGACTAACTGGCAGCAGCAGCAGCAGCACCTATGCAGTGGTAGACACCTTGTGGGCTGCTGCATCACTGCTGCAGTCCCACCACGTCACATTTGGACGTACTGGCGGTACACACCGGTGCAGCAAAACACACCGGTCCTCATTAAAAAAATTATTTTTTAAAAACACGCAATTTGAACCGACATTCGTCGTCAGGCTGCTTTGACATGACGAGAACGGATTTTGACGCACCACCACCACCGAAATTATTATTTCTGACCGGGAGTTGCGAATTGCAAGGAAAATAAATAATTGCGAAAATTTAGCTTCGTTTTTTTTTACCGCGCACCACCCGTGGACTGCCAATACGCTCATTTGGTCAAATTGATTTTGATGGTCACCTACGATAAAAAAATGCCCAAAAGGCACTTCTTCAGGAAATGTCGATGTGGGGGGGGGGGGGGGGGGAGGGGGGTTCTTCTCATAATAAAGGTTTTTGGGTTAGATCGTGTAAGTATAAATGTGTCGTAACCCTCCACCACCCGACACAGCCAGTAAGGTTTGTCACGTAAACAACACGCGCCAATTAGTTAACTACTTCAGCCCACAGGCGTGTTGGGAGAATACATCCACAACATTCACAATTTGAAAACGACGTTTCGCTTCTAATTACATCTAGGATCAAATCGGCCGATTCGCCCGAATAGTCACGACAACATTTATACTTACGTACTGCAACCCAAAAACCTTCCTTATGAATAATATTGGTAGCGAAAGTCTACGTGGGTTTTTTTGTTGTTGTTGCATGATGCACAAATGGCTGTTTTTCTTTTCCCCCAATCGAATGTTTTTCTTGCGTTTCATCTCCAAGTATAGCTATGGCTTGACGACCGTGTGTTTGTTCGCAATGGGTTCGCGTGACCCCTTGCAGCCACAAGGGGAAGCTACCCGATCACGGTGACGACGATAGGGGGAGGGGGTGGGAGCAGGCTGGGAGAAACGACAAGGGCAGTTGTGCCGGATAATGCGTCGACGCATGTATGCAGAACTTCTTTCGCACCATCCGCAGTCAATCGTGTTCATCGGAGACGCGGATTAGATGTATGACAGAAGAAACGCACCGATCATCCGGAGTGTAGGTTTCTTTAAGAAGACAACGTTGCATTACGTATTACACCATTCCCCCCCCACCCGCCTTTTCACCGCAAACGCTAAACAACAATAAATGTACAGAACATTTACGCGCTACTTTCAAAAGTCGAAACTCTTTACTTCACGTGCGTTCAGAGCCGAAGGCGCGCGCATCAACATCCTCGCACAACTTTCACAGCCGCACGCTGGCGGGCAATGCGCCTTTTGATTTAATGCACAAAAATGATCACAGCCGGCAAAAAAACAATACAACGCGGGTCTGCGTGCCAGCGTAGCGGCAGCAGCAGCTGTTTCAGAGGCGCGACCAATGCACGGCAGGTGCACAAGCCCAGGTGAAATGCATTCAATTTGACTGGATATTGGAAATGTTTCCACAAGGGCCTGGCACGTGATGAGACCACGCAAATACGTCTTCTTCCAACTTCAGGCCTTCACGGAAGGCAGATTTCACCCTGTGCATAAAAACACACAACCTCCACCATACATAACAGTGACATGTGCTCACACACACACAAAACAACGATCCCCTTGTAAGCCTACATATGAATGTCGATGCAAGGGTTATTAGCGAGCACCTATTAAGGCCAGCACCATGCACGGTAACATTAATTTTTCCCCCAATTCTAAGGTCTACAAAACCTCACACCAGGTACTCATTTCAGGCTCAGGTCGACCTGTTTGGGGGACGGAGGGCCCAGGACAGGTTCAGATGTCACTCGGCACCGACATTTACCGTGGCCAGGAATCCAACTCGGGGTCACTTGCATCATAGCGCAGTGTGCCAACCCACTGCACGACCGCTCCCCGCGCACACACACACACAAAGTACATTCAGTGCGTATTTAAACGTGCTTCAGTATTTTCGAGTATGTAGTTACAAACATGTAGCAGATATAATTTATATTTTCAATAATTTAACTTTTTTTTTTTAAACTCCATCATATTTCCGCTCGGACACTGTGCATTCAGAAATACAGTGAATTGCCGCATACACCTCTCTTTACAGTGACAGAGTGGTGACGCTAAACTTAAGACTTTCATATCCTCGGGCTTTTTTAGTCAAGTTCCATGGCCTTAGCCTCATGAGACACAGTTTGCACGTACCGAAACATCAAACGCTTCATGGACAATATATGTACTGTACAGTACATAGGCATTGCCATGTATAAAAACCACACTGAAACTGCACGGAATATTGTTTTTTCAAAACACAGATCTCGATTAAGGCACTTAATATCATCAAGTGACTATGTTGGCACAAGAATATATATTTGTTTTAGGTACAAATTACATAACAGCAACAAAGAAATATATTTAAAGCAGGAGAAAAAAAATATTATTTATATCGGTTAAAACCCATGTTATTTTCAATCTGCGATTGAAGGGGTAGAGAGGTTCTGTTACACGCTTATTTTTAGAAGCAAAATAAATAAATATTTATAGGGCCGACAAATGCAGGGGGGGGGGGGGAGCCGAAATTATTGGAACTCGTAGAACATAAAGGGCAAAGTCGCATAGCCGGCCTCGCTCGTGGAGGAGGTAACAGCACTTCCGATTAGTGCGGCTGGCTACGTACGGTGCGAAAGAAGTTCAACATACACGTGATACATTCGGTTACGTTCACAGCCGTAAGTCCGCTACCCAGCCGTGCGCCAATAGGCTACGGGACACAACAGCTAATCACAAGCCCCTTCGAACACGCTGGAGGTAGAGGGGGGGGGAAATGCTTGACCGTGCTTTAGAAGTGAACTTGCGTACGCGATATTAAGAAACGATTAGCACGGTTGGCTTGCGCACTGCAAGAAAGAAATTCAACGTAATGCATACGTACAGACGCTTGTGCTGCGTCTGTAGGGGTCCAAATTCGTGAACGTCTCGCCTCAGAAAGTGACAGCTTAGACCGTGCAGAAAATACCACACCGGGTGTGGACGCTTAACCGGATAGGGAGATGTGCGGCCGCTCGGTTACGCAACTTTTTTTTGTCGTTCTGTGCAAAAAAAAATAGATAAACCTGCCTGTTTTTGGGCATGACAGCCACGTAGAGTGACAGCCAAGTAGCAGTTGTCGTTCAACCCTTCCTCCTCCAATCTCATGAGAATCGCCCGGGGCACTTTATTTAGGTGGGAACGGCTTGATAGTGATGAAGGGCAGCCAAGTACAACAGTATGAGCCAGAGGTGGGACAAAGTCATTGTTATGCAAGTCCAAGTCGAGTCTCAAGTCATCAAATTCATGACTCGAGTCTGACTCGAGTCCAAGTCACATGACTCGAGTCCACACCTCAGAGGTGGGACAAAGTCATTGTTATGCAAGTCCAAGTCGAGTCTCAAGTCATCAAATTCATGACTCGAGTCTGACTCGAGTCCAAGTCACATGACTCGAGTCCACACCTCTGGTATGAGCAGAGGCTGGAATTCAACTGGGGGGGGGGAGGGGGGGAGGCATGCCGACACTGCCAAGTTCCTTGCCCCAGAAATAAAAAAAATGCCGGGGATTCAAAAAAAAACACCAAAAAATTTAATTTGCATTTCACGCGGGCACGCCGATACCGATTTTAAAACCTCTTTCAAGCGGTTTTAACAATAATTGTGAAAAATAGATGTTTGCATGGATAGCACTCTGTATAAAGTCTATAAAACCGCCTTCATTAATGTACACGTGCATGCATAACACACACACAGCCGCTTGTAGTGTAATATCTATGACGCCAACTTCTATTGCAACATAATGTGCCCTGTGGACGTTGAGAAACTGCTGGTCAATTTCACAGATTTAACAACAAGCGCGTCCGCACGCACGCGCAAAACGCGTGCTTGCAGCACTGAACGAACAAAGCTCTTAGGCCTTATCCAGACAAACGTGTGACAGTGTGTGGCCACGTGTCGTCCCTTTAGAACCACCAACTGAAAAAAACCGTTGAGAAAACGTGGCCATCCCAGCGGCGGACAAAATGGCCACCATCGCAGTCAGTTCCTTATGAGCGGGTGGTCTGGACAACGCCATGCACAGTTCACCTCGCCGGGGGTGTGCCTCTTCATCGACGACAGATTCGAATTTAGATTTCATTTTTCGGTAATTAATCTCCGCAGGCATAACCCATCCCTGCTGACGTAACTTCCTCGACTCCGGGTATTGTTTAGCCCCAGTTTAGATATCAGAGCTGGCTGCCAGATGCCAATGTCCGAAATTAATCTCGGTTGCGTGCTGCTATCGGGTTTTTGTGAAGCGGGCGGGGGGGGCAGTGTGGGGTGCGGAGACACGTTTCACATTCGCACGGGAGCCAGTGTCGGCGGAGAAGCCGCGCACACACACACACACACAGGGACCTCTTTGTGCACGAAAAACAACGCGGGCCTTTGTCGAGCCGCGTCGAAAAAGACGCTCTCCCGGAGTGAGAGAGAGAGAGAGAACCGAGTGAGTGAGAGCGTGCGAGTGAAAGAAAGGGAGACTTGCGAGAAAAAACATTTCGCAATGTACACGCGATCGTCGTGAGAAACGAGGCGGTCACGGCGGCGACGGGTAAAAAGAAAACAAAAAACGGACCCACAGGTGAATTGTCCTCTTCGCACAATTTTTTTTTGGACTCCAGCTTGAACACCTTTTTCTTTGTTGCACGAGCTAAAGTACGACAGGGAGTTTATTCCTTTTAAAACAAAAGTTCACATCGAAAGTAAAAAGACACGTTTCATAATAATAATAGTAGTTAGTAGAGTTTTAAAAAATAGCATGCTAGACCAAAGATCTAAAATGTAGCAGCATTTGGCAATAAAAAGTACAGATGATCTTCTCCCACGCTGGGGGAGACTTCACCAGGACAGTCAGTGTTTATTTTTTTGCGAATCGCAGGAGGCGACCCCCCCCCCCCCTTTTTATCCAAGGACGACTAAAAGTGCCCGCTCACGATGAGCCACGGCGAGCCACGGCCATGGCGAGCCACGGCGGCACCGACAGGACAAGGCACATGCCCCCCCCCCCCCCCCAAAGGCCGTCCCATTCAGCTGTCCGGCCCCGACCTCTTCGCCGAGCTGCGACCCGACTTCAGACCTGAGGTGCACAATAATTCATTTGCGGGGACCGACTCAGTAGTACTTGGCTCGCGACACTCCCGCCTCGGGCCACGAGGGTCAGGGGGCCCCCGTGGCGGGTCGGTCACCCTTTGTGCGACGGGACGTGCCCACCACCTGACAGCGGTGGCAAGTCCGCGAGCGGTGGCCTTGACGAACTAGCGTCCGACATCGTCGCGTTGCCCTTCCACAGTGAACCGCACCGAGGGTTGCGCGCTCAAATCTCCGACTCTCGCCGCTGCTGGCCCTCGTCGAGTGGGACGGTGGCCTGCGACGGCCGCCCCTCGTGCAGGCCTGAAAGTGGCCGCACGAGGCTCTTCTGCTCGGCCACGTCCGGCACCGGCGCGCCACCCCGGCCCAGGTTCAGCTCGTTCTCGTACGAGAAGTCACCGCACGGTACCACGTATTTGTTCTCGGCGAGGTCCTTGGAGCTGCAGAGCGGCGTCGCCACCTCATAGGTGTCGTGGAACTTTGAGAAGTCCACACGGTAGTTGTCCTTCTCCTCGGTGAGCAGGGGCTCGAAGCGGTGGCCCCACAGCACCTCGCTGGACAGGTAGGAGGTACGCGCCTGAGTCGTCATGGCGGTCGCCTCCACCATGCCCTCGAGGATCACCACGATCTCGAAGTCCTCCGCGTCCAGGTCGCGCTTGCTCATCGCGTACAGCGGGCTGTCCTCGTCGATCACGTGCACGATCATCACGGGCGACACCAGGAAGATGCGGTCGAGGCCCTGGTCGTAGCCCACGTTGAGGTCCTGATGGTCGAGCGGGATGTACTCGCCCTCCTCGGTGACGCGCGGCCGGACGAGCTGGGCGCGCACGTGCGCCTCGACCAGGTGGCTGCGCCGCAGGTTGCCCACGCGCCACGCCAGGCACAGCTTGCCGTCGCGCATCGCCACGATGGCGTGGCGGCTGAACACGAGCGTCTGCGCCCGCTTCTTGGGGCGTGCCATCTTCGTCATGATGGCGCCGATGGCGAAGCAGTCGACGATGCAGCCGGCGACCGACTGCAGCACGACGAGCAGCACGGCGGCCGGGCACTCCTCGGTGACGCAGCGGTAGCCGTAGCCGATGGTGGTCTGCGTCTCGAGCGAGAAGAGGAACGCCGACGTGAAGCCGTCCACGTTGGCGACGCACGGCTCGCCGTCGGGGGAGTCGCGGGGGCGCGCCGTGTCGCCGTGCAGCCACGCCAGCAGCCAGAAGCCGAGGCCGAAGGCCAGCCAGGACAGCACGAAGGCGAGCGAGAAGATGAGGAACATCCAGCGCCAGCGCACGTCCACGCACGTCGTGAAGATGTCGGAGAGGAAGCGTCGCGGCCGGTTGTCCACGTTCACGAAGTGCACGTTGCACTGCCCCGTCTTCTTGACGAAGCGGCTGCGCCCCGGCGCGGGCCGCCGGTAGAGTTTGTTGCCGCTCGGGTGGCCGTTCTGCGCGGAGACGCCCTTCAGTGCCATGCCCTCCTCGGCCTCGGAGCGAACGACACCGTACATCTCTGGACGCAAACTCCTCACCATGCGATCGTACATTGCTGTGGCGTCGCTTCGACACCCTCCGTGGTTCTCTACCGATGGAAGCGGCACAGGTTGAAGCGGCTTGGCTCAGTAGATGCCAGGGTGGTGCGTCTCCCCCCCCCCCCCCCAGCCGCTTTTCCAAAGCAGTTCAAATTCCAGCCGCCCGCTTAAATTGTCGCGTCGACAGAAACGCGATTGTTAAGAGCGCGCGTTTACCGGCTCCGCTTGCAGGGATCGATCTCCGCGTGCATGCAGATTGAACGTCGCCAAAGTTGGGTTTCTAAGAACAAAAAACAAACAAAAAAGCATTTAAATATAATCAAATATATATATGGTGTATATATGGTATAACGGACTTTTAGATAATATTTCAAAATGGGTGAATTGCAGTTCTTTTTTTCAAACAAATAAAAGACGCTTCACTACATTTCAGTCAGCGCAAAATACTTTTTTTATAAATTCGGTAGGATCCCCCTGCCACAAGTGTATGCATGCAGCACTTCTAACTTTCGCACCGTACATAGCCAACAGTGCTAATCGGAAGAGGGTAGCACTCTATCCCCCATGCAGATGGAATGGATAGATATTAGCAGAATCTGCCAGCACTCCCCCCACCCCACCCCCATGCACCGATTGTAACCGTGTTAAAACACCGTTACAACCCCGTTTTAACGCTGTTATAAAACACACCGCCTGCACAGGCGCATGGCGGAACGCTCTACATCGCCTCGCAGGACAGCGCGCACTCCTGAACGGCTGTATCGCGAGGCGAGGGTCGCGTTACCGACTGACCAATCAACTTCCATCTCAGGTGTGACAGCACCACCCGAGCCTGGGTCAGTCGCTGTTGTTGCTGGACAATCACCATCCATCATCGAGAGGTTCACCTTGACAAGCCCGGAGGTAGCTCCAAATGCCCCCACCCCCGAGTTAAATAAACGATGTCATGGGCGTGGAAGGTGTTGTTGCAGTGGGCTCCAACCCCTCCATCACCACCCTCCACACTTCAACGGCCAGTTGCCCAGTGTCCGAGCGCCGTGGTCACCCCGAGATAAATCGGGCCTCGCCACAATTTCCCACCGCCGTCACATTCCCAGCTGTACTTTACTTGCGAATTATTAAGATGGCACGGTTCGTGCGCTAGACTTGCAAGTCCAGAGGTCGCCGGGAGAGGGGGAGGGGTGGGGGTCGTTCGGCCTCCCCGGTGCGGCCGCTGTAAATGGCCGCACCGCAGTTGGGTCGAACGGCAATTAAGTTACAGAAGCATACAAAAAAAACATGTCAGCGGATTATTGCAATCGTATGCAAACAGACGGGGATTGGTACGGTTCACAAATGTGCACGATCCAGGTGCTAGATTGACAGCATCTGTACGCCACCACCCACTGGGCTGTGTGATACCGCACAGGCCTACGACGACCACGAGTAGCAAAGAAGCCAGGCCAATGGTGGGCAACCTGGAGCCACCCCCCCCCCCTCCCCACCCCTCCTCGTGATGGCCTCGACTCAGTGTGTCTCGAGGGTGATGTGTGGGGGTCACACTAACCCAGCGTTCTTCACCGCAAGTACACAAGTGTAAAAAAACCACCACCTATCGTCATGCCGTCAAAACTCAATGGGTTTCAAATGAGTAAAAATAAATATTCAGATTCTGCAAGTGTGGCCCCCCCGCCACCCCTGAGAATTCGTGAAGGACGCCGCACGAACTAGTCGACGTTTGCCCATCACTGGGCCTGACCGTGCGAGAAGCTGCAGGTCGCTTTAGATACAGTGCGATGCAGACAGATACTGTACCCCGCTGGGATTTCTAATGACCCTCTTTAGCTCCTTTCTGCCCATGTGGCCCTCTTGCAAAGTGGAAAGACAAATAAAAGAGCGCAAGCTTTCTTCTCTCTCCCTCTCTGACTAGGTAACACTGTTTGCTCACCAGTCCACTCGTCTCTACGCTTGAGGTTTACAATCCGATCCACCATCATATTCACACCCACCTCCTACAACCACCCCCCAGAGCCATGCGTGTAATAATCTATTCCTTCCGATGAATAAAAATTACATGCCGGTGTAAAAAAAAATGTATTCATGGCACAAACTCAAGTGTACAAAAATAAGACAGACCGTGAACAAAAAAAAAATTCTCGAAAAACCGAGACAAAAAAAGGATCGAATCCTTTCCAGAATCGAATTGTGACCGACAAATTTGTACAACCACCGAGGGAGCAGCGAACCTCGGAAACGAACTCGAAACATCCGAAACCTCCGATTAGCACGGTTGGCTACGTCAAGCGCGAATCAAGCTCGCCACAGTGACATACCCGAGTGACCTCGCAACGAGGTTCCAGCGCTACAGGTTCGATACGGGGGGGGGCGGGGGGTGGCATCGTCGAAATATCACAACCGGCGAACACGGTCCCTACGACGCTCCGAAAATAACACCGCTCCTTGCACACCAGCCACGCGAGGGCTTTCACACACCTGCACCGCACTGGGATGAGTCTCTCTTTTGCCAAACCCCCCCACCCCACCACTGCCCCCCCCCCCAGGCAATAATTAACATTCAAAACCTGTACGAAATGCATACTTGACACATTAAGCCAGTGTAAACGGAGGTGTCCGTGAGGTTATCACCTCTTGGAGATACCAAACAAAAAAAACACATCATGGGAAGAACATCTCTCGGCACTGGAAAAGGGCAGAGAACCGCCTTGTTGATTTCCCAGGAAAGGCTAGCGACCACCACGATGAGGACGTCCTGGGAAGAGACAACAACAACAACAAAAACCCCAGGACAGGTGGCAACAGCCCTGTGCTGGCAATGTTGTCATGGTACCACGTCGTGACACCGCAGCCACGCCGTTCCGACGGGTGGCACCGTTCGTACCGCGGCGGCAGGCGGGGAGGGCCACTACATCCATGATGAGCCCGAAAGTCTCCACTGCCACCAAAATAATGGTGGCGTGTCCCAGCCTCTCGTCCTTGGGTTCTATTGTGTGCGGGGGGGGCTGTCCATAAAAGGCATCTTCCATTTTTTTCAGCTCTGTTGATGAAACAAAAACAAGCATCGCCTGTATAGTCTTAACAGACTGTTGGGGCAAGTGCTGTTAGCGAGCACCCATGAAGGCCGGCACGGCACACGAAGGGGTGGGTGGCCAGCACCACCCGCGGCCGCCTTTGTCTCCGCAGTGGCGATGTTTGCACATCGCACCAGGTACTCATTTGAGGCCGAGTCGACTTGGGGGAGGTCTATGACCATGAGCAGGAATTGAACCCGGGTTGCCAGGTTCGTAGTGCAGCTCATTAACCGTTACACTACCACTTAGCGCTAAACTAAAACTGAACAAGCACAAATGCATGGTAGCATGTAGAATTTATCATGATAGTTTCATCCATTGTGACTTCAAATGCAAATTGGGGGGTTGACTCAGGTCATCATTCCTTCGAGGTTGATAAAGTGAGTACCCGCTTTGTGTGAAAGTGCAACAGCAGTTGTGCCGAACTAGTAACTAATTGGCATGTTGTGTTTACGTGACAAAGCTTGCCAATTGGCTGTGTCGGGTGGTGGTGGGTTTAACAACATATTTACACTTACGCGACCCAACCCAAAAAAAAACCTCTGTTATGGATATTACTGGTCACTGTACACTCACTCGCGCGAGAGATATCACTTCGATTTCCATGGAGTTACAACAATCGATGCGATCGGCGCCCATGGGGGGGGGGGGGGGGGGGAGTCGTCACGTTTTCGCTTTGTAAGCATTTCGTCGTGTGGACATGTAAAGTGCCCTACAAAAGGTTGTCTTTTTTTTTTACGATCAGTGGAAACAAGAAGATGCTCGGTGTATTCGGCACTTTGTTTCGTTCATTATTTCGTTTTTTATTTTTATTTTTTTTAAAACGGGGCTTTATGTAACCCTCGCTCGCTCGCTCTCTCGCTCTCTCACTCTCTCACTCTCACTCGTTCTGTCGCTCATTCTCTCGCTCACTCTCTCGTTCTACACGTAGACCCCCCTCGCAGTCCGACGGCCTCCGACGGGTAGCTCATAACAGCATGCAGAGCTCCCCGTCATCTGCCACCGAGCACACGGCCTCCTCCATCGCCCACTGCTCCTTGAGGGCCGGCACTGCGTGGGTCAGCCGCGCCACATGGCGGAACTCAAAAGGTTGTCAACGCGCGCCTCCAACACGAACGAAACCCGCACTTCGCTACTGACGCCGCACAAAGAGCAAACATCGCAGTCCGCACCTGCGAAATGAACGCCTCCTCTCATCTCTACAGAAGCATCACCAACCCACATCCAATTAACACGGTTGGCTACGTACATACTTTTCGCACACCTTTCATGATTAAACCGCCGCATGTGCTATTGTACTGGCGCAGATCACGCCCGCTTAAACACTTTACTAATTGGCAATTAAAGCCAAGGTTGGCGCATTTCAGCAAAGGGTCAGACCGATGCGCTGCACGCAACCGTGCCCTGGCCGTTGGCCAGATGAACGGCACGACCAATGAGCTGGGGCTGAGACGTCAACAGGCGCGGTGGGTCCCGTGGGGCTGTTTGTGCTGCGAGGTGGAAGAAAGATTCGCGGTGCCGTTCTCAACGAAGCGCAGCAGTACAGTACAACGTCGCATATCCGTCTCGGCTGGGCAAGGAGGTAGATTCGGGTCGGGCGTTTGCGTGGAAAAGTCGGATTCGTGGTCATCGATGGAGAACGACCGTTACGCCAAATACGACTGCACTGCATGCTAAACGCTTCTTTGGTCAGGTCGGATATGTGACGGTCGGATATGTGACGTCGTTTTTGTGCTCCCATCTCAATGGAGACGTGAACAGACCACGTGACGTTTTCAAGGCGAGGGTCGTTGTCCCGGCCCGTAAACACAAATGAACTCGCAAAATGTGTTGAATCCATAATACACGCAAGCTTTCACGTGTTGAATCTCCCGTTTCTGGGTTGTAGCAAATACTAGAAATTCCACGTTCCTATGGCAGAATTAACGCTTTGTCTATTGGATGGCCACCGTAGAATTTCCACAACAATAACAATGATCGTCTCTACCAACCTCCTGCCGCCTCGATCTATACAATTGCAAAGGAGATAATGAACCCAAAATACACTCGTGTGTGAAGCATTATATATTTATTTCTAACATTCCCCAAGTTATTCACTTCAGTTTCTATCGCATTTAATATGGTAACATTCAGATCTTGCCAAAGTCCAAACATACCCACGTGCACATTTCGTTCAGCAGCTCATCCAAATTCCCCCGATTCCAAAGCAAATTCATATAGTGGGGCGTGACATTACAAACGGTCTGCAGTAGATATGACCGCGCATTGTGTCACCGTGAAACTAAAATTTCCGCACGATACGTAGCCAAACATTAACATCATGATCACCGTGTCATTCTTTTTTTCGTCATCACCACCACCAACTGAGAGACCACTGGGAACAAGCGAGACCTGGCTCAAGAGACAAGAATCTGCTTGGAAATGTGCACCGTTTTACTAACTTTTGTTTTACTTAGTCGGCAGTTAATCAAATGGGGGTTAATCAACGGGGGTTATAATGCGGTTACCAGGAGCAATCGAAAGACATCCCGGGGCATCAATACCGAACAAAAGCCACCTTCTCTACTTCACGGGAGTTCAATTAAAGCAGGAAACAAACGGGCGTGCCCGTTTTAGTACCGATAAAAATTCAACGCATTTTTTTAATAACACCGCGTCTAAATAAATAAACATATACTAATAGGAAACGTTTTTAGCAATGGCGCTTATTCAGAGGGGAACCACTGCCCAAAACTTGTATACCGTTCTTGCTTTCAAGGCCACAGTTTAGCTTTTTTTTACGAACGTGTTGACCTTTTCTGCTGCTCCTGTTGTTGTTGTTAACTGTGCACCAGTGACAACGCAACAACGGCAGACTCACCAAATCATTGTAATCCACAATAGAGGTTTCTGGGTTAGATGGCGCAAATATAAACACGTGTCGACGTTAAACCCGCCGCCACCCGACACAGCTAATTACAGGAAGGTTTGGTCACGTAAACAGAACGTGCCAATTCGTAACTAGTACAGCACACCGGTGTGTTGGCGAGTAAAGCCACAACACTTAGTACCACGAGTGATTATGTTTGCCGACAGCGGCCAATGGATTTACAATGCCAATTAAGTCTCAACTGCAAGGCTGAATTTCTTACTAATTGGTTCTTTTGGTAAAGTCACGTAGGTATAAAATAAAATAAATTAAATCACGACGTTTCGGGCGCAACACAAGCGTCCGTCATCAGGTGGGACAACCACAGCTAGAAACAATTGCTGAAGTGGACAAAAGGGGTGCTTGTATCAAGAGGCTATATAGGTAAGGGAGGGGGAGGGAGAGATAGAGAGGGTGGGGGTGTGGGGTAGGGCGAATGGGGATGCTGCTTTATCGAAAGAACCAAAGAGTATGGATCCCTGCAGTCACGAAAACGTCAAATCTAGCTTCATTTCTTATTTGAGATTTTCCGGAACGCCGCTAGGCTCCCTTTGAGAAGGGTTCGTCGGTGTAAGGCACTACAACTAGAGCACAAGGCATGCCTATATAGAAGTGCTATGCTGTATTACCGTCCCCTATAAACAAATAATCATATTAACAGGTGTATGGGAATATAGGGTATACAATGAGGACAAAATAAGGCCAGATGGGCATGTGGTGCAAAATGAATTCTAGAATATTTCCGGCCGAAACGATGCACAGAGGGGTATTTACTCCAACCAGGATAGAACGCCACGAGGCATCGCATCTACTGGGCACAGGTGACCGAGGTCAACAGGGTGACGGAGGTCAACAGGGCGTCAAAGGTCAACAGGGCGTCAGAGGTCAACAGAGGTTAATGTACCCCCCCCCCCCCACCAACGCAAGACAAGACAACTCCAACAGAGGATACATTTAAACCAGAAAAACAACGGAGCTAAAGGGAAAAAAAACACTTTCTAAGAGTGCAAAAGCGTATCCAGAAGCAGCTGAAGGAATAATATCATGAAAGAAACGGAACCAAAAATGTAAACGCAACTCTAAAACCAAGACAACGATTGGCATTTATTTCACCATCGTTCCAAGAGACGACCTTGCTTTCCATCATGGCCACACACACCGAGGGGATGGAGGGGTGGTTTATTCTCGTTAACCGAATTGAATTCCATTTTTTTTATGCTAGAAACATCCAAGATCACAAAAAGGAGGGGGGGGGGGGAGAGAGAAATATCTTCCCTTGACACACAGGGGGTTTTAAAGGCATACGGCCAACATTGACAATGAAAAAAACCTGACGAGAGAGAGAGGGTGTGTGAGGGGCATGAGTAAGACCGTCATCTCTCGTTAGGGCAAATTTGTGTGGAAATTTCCACTGCCCGTGTTCGAACGCAAAAGTTGGTTGCATTAAATCATTAACACGTTAAGCGCCTTTATATAATTTGACCGCGTTATTAGTTTATTTGTACAGCACATTCCGTCTGCCCCTTCAGTATCACGACGGTTGTGCTTTGGGATAGTTTTTTTTACCGTAATCGCAGATCCACGACTGCCTGGTCATTAAATGACCGGCGACTCGCGCAAGCAATTCGCAGTTCGCGCAACTGCCTTGCTAAGGATAAGCAGGTAGAAAACAAATATATGTATACACAGGCCAACGTTTCGGTCAATGAAACCTTGGAATAACGCACTTTGCACCGTGCAGAGGAAGAAACGAGAGGACCGATTCGGAGCGCGCTCATCGCCTCGCCACGCACCGCTAAGCCGAGTGGGGCTTCAATCCAAACGCGTGCGCTCACCACTGCGCCACCGTGCTCCTGGCACCGCACGTGTGCAGGTGAACTGGCAAAACTTCATTCATAGAAACGTTTTTGGTTTTTTTTTAAACCTCACAGCCGTCGTGAAGCTCAACACTTTACGTAACTTTCGATTTAAAGCTTTCGTGACTGCACGGATTCATCTTCTTGGTTCTTTCGGTAAAGTCACGTAGAAGGGAAGTAATAAAATAATTAAAATATAAAACATAATAGAATAATTCTCACGACGTTTCGGCCACAACGCAAGCAGCCGTCCTCAGGTGAAGAAACAGGTCTGTCGAGAAGACAGCGTCTGAATGACAGACCTGTTTCTTCACCTGAGGACGGCTGCTTGCGTTGTGGCCGAAACGTCGTGAGAATTATTTTATTAGGTTTTATTTTTATTATTTTATTACTGTACTTGCCTTCTACGTGACTTTACCGAAAGAACCAAGAAGACTTTACGTAACCGTCACGGGGATATCCACGGCGCTTAATGCGTTTAATAAACAATTGGGCGACAAGGCATTTGTGTGCCGTCATGTCGATACTGTATATTGCAAATGCTTTGCCTTACGTAAGCACGCAAGGGTATACATGTCCCACCATATATTCATACATGCGTGAATATGCCTGACGCACAGCAATAGAAGCCAAAGAGATGCATTGTTAATAATTTACGCGTGTTGAACTTCTTTCGGACCCTACATAGCCAACCGCACCAACCTCATTCACAACACACAGAAATCAGTTATTAAGATGTGAATTTACAATCTAGACTTAATAGCGCATGGAGTTCCTGTGGCTTCCGAATTTAAAATGTGCAATTGCCCATCAGTGTGCGTGCCCAATAAACTCACGTTATTCAGGGTACGCACAGCACTCTCTCTACCTGCTCATTTACACAGCGTTAGACGGCTGAATAGCTGTATGCAGATATACTTACACGAGACACATTCAGGTAACTTTTTACACACGCACAGGGGTACCACTTGCCCGAGGCTGCTCGGGCAAGTGGTACATCCAAAATACAAATATCCCACGTGTAGCCTTACCAGGCTGTTGGGGCAAGTGGTACATTCAAAATACAAACAAAGATAAAGATCCCACGTGTAGCCTTAACAGGCTGTTGGGGCAAGTGGTACATCCAAAATACAAACAAAGATAAAGATCCCACGTGTAGCCTTAATAGGCTGTTGGGGCAAGTGGTACATCTAAAACACAAACAAAAGACAAAGATCCCACGAATATCCTTAACAGGCTGTTCGGGCAAATGGTACATCCAAAAGAATAAAGATCCCACGTGTAGCCTTAACAGGCTGTTTGGGGCAAAGTGCTACATCCAAAAGATAAAGATCCCACGTATATAGTCTTAAGAGGCTGTTGGGGCAAGTTGCTACATCAATCAAACACACGCGCGCGTATGCCAGCCAGCTGATAGGCGACTTCTACCACAGTCAACGAACACGCCGCAAACGTTCTTCACAAGACCCATCGGTCGCAAGCGCACAAACTCATTCTGGCAAGCGAGACGTGTTGACAACACCCAGAGGACTGAAACATTATTAAATGCTGCTTAATGATATCGCCATAGCTTCCCTTGCACGCGTTCTCCCGGGACAGCTCACAGAGGTTTGAGTAACCATTGGATAACCCCCCCCCCCCCCAACAAACCACAACCCACCACAATCTCCCCCCGCAAATTAAGAGTATATTTATTTTCTTGTACGCAAAACAAAAGAGAGAATACACGATCTTACCGTCTCCTTTGGTTTGTGGGTTGGGGAAGTGTTATTTTTCAGCAGCTTTGCTTTGTAGATTAAAAAGGGACCCCACACCAACACACAGCGCTGCTGTACACCCACACACGGACGAGGAATCCTCTAGCGTGTGGATGCGACGGCCTTCGCTTTTATAGCCGCGGAGGGAGGGAGGGTGTGGCGTGACGTCACAGCGGTGGGCGTGTCCGCCGTGAATGGGCGGTGCCTCTGTCGTGTAACCACGCCCCCTTTAAAGTTAAAGCATCTTGGTTCTTTCGGTAAAATCACGTAGAAGGGAAATAATAAAATAATAAAAATAAAACATTATAAAATAATTCTCACGACGTTTCGGCCACAACGCAAGCAGCCGTCCTCAGGTCTGTCGATGAGACATTATTATTTTATTATTTCCATTCTACGTGACTTTACCGAAAGAAGATGAATCTCTGCAGTCACGAAAGCTTTAAATCGAAATTTTAAGTAAATAAATTAAGAGGTTGACACACGCAAGGTTGTCCGCTCCGATTATGCTATAGCTGCAATTGCTGGCCTAACGTCGTACTCTCCAAGGCACCGGTATGCTGAACTCGTCATGAATTTCGATTTAAAGCTTTCGTGACTGCAGGGATTCATCTTATTGATTCTTTCGGTAAAGTCACGTAGAAGGGAAGTAATAAAATAATAAAAATAAAAATAAAACATAATAAAATAATATAATAATGTAACAAAAGAATAAAATAATATTTTTTTATAATTTATTAATATTTTTTATATATATAATTATGTTTTATTTTTTATTATTTTATTACTTCCTTTCTACGTGACTTTACCGAAAGAACCAACAAGATAGTTACGAATTGGCACGTTTTGTTGACGTGAAGAACCCTGACTAATTGGCTGTGTCGGGTGGTGGTGGTTTTTACGACACATTTATATTTACGCGATCTAACCCCCCCCCCCCCCCCCAAAAAAAAACTATATTATGGATAAATAATTAGAGTTTTGCCAGTTGTTTTGTTTTGCCTTACGAGTTTATTGTGTTTGATATTTCTTCAAATAGGAATTAGTACCCAATATATGAGCGAAATTTATTTCTGCATGTAAATTATTAATATTATTTTTCAGTCCATCAGCCGGTTTATTTTGCAGACCAATATTATTAAGCGCCCTTCGTTTAGGCACGAAACGTCTGGATCGCCTTCGAGCCTCTGGATATCATCAGCAATCAGGCTTGTGTGTGAGTACTGCAAAATCTTGGGATTATTCAAGTCAACAGGTGAAATGTCGACTTACATTGCAAGGCGGATTTCCCCTCTCTGCTCTCCGTCTCAGAATCCGAATCCGAATCTTTCATTTTTTTAGACTGGAGAAATCCGATACGCTACGAAATCTCTTTTTTTTTTGTTTACAGATGTCCAGCCTGGAGCGTGAACTCTTACTCGCGCAGTCCACTCTCCCATCTCGGCTTGACGCGGTCACGTCTCGGCTTGGTTCCAACCTAAGTGTTGCCAAATCTCGAAGCATTCCTCCGCTGGCAAAAGGTGCACTCTCTGCAAAGACGGCAATCCGTGCGTGCACCTCGTAAACTCACATTTATAATCATCTTTAGGGCATGTGTGCGTGTGTGGGCAGTGGTTAAATGGCCAGTATACGGCGGTATACCGTGACGGCAACGTCCAACAACGCCAAACAGTCATCGCCAGCCTCCTATTCCTTATCCGCAGAGGGGAAACGGCAGTCAACATCACACATTCTCATTCAGTTCTCTCCTTTCACTCCACTGGACTGGCTCCCCATCACCAGCAGAGCCACTGCACCTCTACTTTGGGTCGTCCACCCTTTCTCTCTCTCTCTCTCCGCTCTTGTCCACCTGCAATACAGCTCCTGTCACCCTGCACCACAGCTCCTGTCACCCTGCACCACAGCTCCTGTCACCCTGCACTACAGCTGCTGTCACCCTGCACTACAGCTCCTGTCACCCTGCACCACAGCTGCTGTCACCCTGCACTACAGCTCCTGTCACCCTGTACCACAGCTCCTGTCACCCTGCACTACAGCTCCTGTCACCCTGCACTACAGCTCCTGTCACCCTGCACTACAGCCCCTGTCACCCTGCACCACAGCTCCTATCACCCTGCACCACAGCTCCTGTCACCCTGCACTACAGCTCCTGTCACCCTGCACTACAGCCCCTGTCACCCTGCACTACAGCTGCTGTCACCCTGCACTACAGCTCCTGTCACCCTGCACTACAGCCCCTGTCACCCTGCACCACAGCTCCTGTCACCCTGCACCACAGCTCCTGTCACCCTGCACTACAGCTCCTGTAGTGCAGGGTGACAGGAACTCTAAGCAGCAACAGCGCGACCCACAGCCCCCTGCTCCTCTTCTCTCACCGAAGAGCAGGAGGCCGTGGTCACTGGCGCCCGCATCCTTTCTCCGCGGAAGCTCCCGCGCCGTCTGAAAAGAAGCCATAAACCTACTTCACATTCGCGGCAGCATTCACATTTAAGAGACAATTTAATGCCCCCCCACCTCACCCCACATCCACACGTCAGTGAAATATTGCATTATTATTATTGTAATAACATGGACTGAAAGGACGAATAGGCTCCATATCCGGCACTTCAACATTTAAAATTGGACCACTCCGTATTTGTGTGTGTGTGTGTGTACATTGTGTGTATCCATGCGTGTGCGCGTCTGTGTTTTGGTGTTACCACGCCTTGTGGTTGCCTGCAATCGCCTTCCTGGCATTTAACTTTTTTTTATTAAACCAGGTGTCCCGGTTGAAAAAAAAAGAAAAACTTCTCGAAAAACATGATGTAGGGCTGATGCTTTGCCACTGGCAAATTCCCAAGTGAACATGCTAACAGGTTCTTTGGAATGTGCCTGGTTTTGCGGTAAAGCTCAGTCACTTAGTGCGACGCGTGAACGACATTTCTCAACGCAGTCAATGACAAACTCCACCCATGCCCCTTCAGAATTAAAGAACTACAAGCTAAATAAAAAAAACGTACGGGTTTTATCATAGCAAATTTCAATGATCCATATCTTCTGGGTTTTGGTTTGGGCAAGGCCACGTGGTGGTCGTTTTATGCCAACATCCTTGTCATTAACCCTCCACAACCCAACTGGATTGTCGCGTTCACAGAGATATTACGTACACGTGGCAATGTGTTCATCAATTTAGGCAATAGACGGACAACACAACTGATTAATTACTGGTTTCATCTTTTTCGATACACATCTGAGTAGTGAGTACCACAACCGGCATTGTATACTGCTGCCATTCGGCAGAAGCAGAATCAGAATCTGTATTTATACTGGAGGAATCCGATGAGCTATGAAGCTCTGTTTTCACAGATGCCCAGTGCCTGGGGTGCTTATGTTCAGCAGCCTGCCCACCAAACTGTGGGGCTGACTTCGCCACAGATTATGGGAAATTCAAGCACCTTGTGTTTTGTGTGTGTGTGTATATATATGTATGTTATGTATGTCCAGCGGTGTGTTGCGGTTAGCGCGCTGCGCTAAGAACCCAGCGACCCGAGTTCGATTCCCGCTCACGGCCAACACCAGTGATAATTATCTGAACCGGTCCTGGGCCTCCCCTAGGTCAACTCAGCCTGAAATAAATACCTGCTGCGGTGTGTAAACATCACCACTAGGGAGACAAAGGCAGTCGGGCGTGGCGCTGGCCACCCACCCCCTCGTGTACCGTACCGGCCTTCATAGGTGCTCGCTAACCGCACTTGTCCCAACAGTCTGTTAAGGCTATACGGGGGATCTTTGTCTTTGTCATGCATGTCCATCCTGCATTGCTTTATTTCTGGCTGCTGAATTGCCTTCGGAAAAAGAAGTGCTTGCGTATGGTGCTGGACTGCACGTTTAAAATAGGATCTCGGGTGGCCGGGTGGCTCGGAAAAACTGAAGTCCGTGTCGTGACACTGACCCGGGACCTTTTTTCCAGCCTGCGTTCAAGCCCCTTGTTGACCCCTCGGGTAAAAATTATCTCGTGTCCGAGTGGGTTTGATTGTGTGTGGCTACAAATGTACCTCTGCAAGCCAGCAAACTGCCTTTAATCTCTGAACACACGGATCAACGGTAAAGTCGGTTAATGAGGATCGCAGTCACACGCTGGGAGCTGGCTCCTGACACCGACGTGCAACTGGGGGAATTATCGCAGTCGATGCATCACAAAGGCTGGATACAAAGCGACCTGCTGAACAGTTTGGTAAACAGGACAGACCACAAATTGGTGATGCTTGTCAGTTTAGAGGAATTAACCGCCTGGCTGAGAGGAATGAATAATTAGTTTAGAAAGAATGCACACTTCGGAAGGAGGGGGTTGAGCCGGGAGATGTGTATGCGTAATCAGTAATATTTAAAAACACGCTTGAATGTAATGTACCGTACGAGTAATGGCAGAACTCCACGACTCCAGGAAGTGGCCCCGAAGCTTGCCACAACGTAAGGGACCGTGGTGATTTACAGCCAACGTGAGTTGAGCATGGATAATTAGACCCAAGCCGAAACATAACATGTAAAAAAAGATAACTTTAAAATATGTTTATTTTTAATTTTTAATGATAGAATATAGTATTGTCATCAGTATGACATACGCATACCAAGTTTGCAGTCGATACCATATTGGGAAGTGGGTTAAAATTGAGTTACAAGATTTGATGATACGACAACAGAGTTGAGGATACAACAGAGTGAGTTAAATAAAAGCGTGTAGTAATAAAAAAGTGGATCGTTGTTCACGAGGAGACCTCAAAGTGACTGATGAGCTCTGTGCGTATCGAAGTCAGGGAGGTGGCAATATGTAAACATAGAGCTTCAATTAAAATCTGCAACAAACGATGAGAACCCCCATCACAGGTGAAAAAATAGTGCAGGCCGGAAAAAGCTTCAACAAGACTCACGAAAATGTCCTCTGCGTGCGTGTGTGTGTGAATAAAACGCTCTCAGCATGAAGCAAAGAAGTGCAATATACATACATACAAAACGGTTGGCTACGTACGGTGCGAAAGAAGTTCAACGTACATAGTTCGAGCTGACTGGAGAGATGGGAGGAGACGCACCTGTTGTACCATCGCTGAGAATGAGTGGCTTTAGAGGCACCTGGGTGGAGCGTGCGGAGAGGACGCGGTTGGATGGGCAGCTGAGCGACACATTGGTTACACTCGTACCTGACAGCAAGAAAGAACCCGGGTTCGATTCCTGACTGGGGCACCTTTCTACGCTGATTTTGCATGGTCTCCCTCTGTTTCCTCTGGGCTCTGCGATCTCTTCCTATAGCTATAAATATACTAGTTGTAACTTACTAATAGGGTTTTCCCCTTTTCTCTGGCAACAACACTGGAAAAAAAACCCTATTAGTATATTTTGGTACTGGCAAAGAAGGTCTCATGATGTAGATGCTTACCCCGAGCTCTCATTACTCTGATAGTGCGTTGTCTTTGAACTGTGTGCCTTTTGGTGTCATCAGGTCGAACACCATATGAGACTAGGCTCTAAGAAAAGCTGTCTCTGGTGTGGACCAATCCGTTTCGAGGACAATGCATAAATTATCAGAGTATTGTTTTTTGTTTGCATTTGACTGCAAGTCTTGTGGTTAATGTTAACTTGATTCCTTGCAAAGGTGTCAGTTTTGTTGCCATAGAAAAGGGGAAAGACCCGATTAGTATATTTTGGTAGCGGCAAAGGAGGTCTCATGACGTTGTTACTTTTATTGGCCAAAAACATCCCAGTGCTGAAAGTCACTTCCAAATCATCCAATTTACACACAGCAGCAACATCGTCCCCTACTTCGAAAACTTTGGCAAGACCCTACTGAAAAAAAAACAGCCTTGGGACTAAGAGTGAGGCTTTTCTGGGTTAACAAGCTACAACAACCAAATGGATGTAAAGGTGTGGGGCTGCTGTGAAGAGAGCGAGCATTGGACAGACGGGGTCAGAGGTTAGACATATCTGTGATGAGTCACAAAGCCATCACAAGTTTGTGTAACATGTTTTTAACTCCATGATGCAGTTTTTTTCTGAGTTAGATCGCGTAAATATATAAATGTGCCGTTAAACCCGCCACCACCAAGGTTTGTCACGTAAACAGAACGTCGCCAATTCGTTGCTAGTACAGCACCACCGGTGTATTGGAGAGCAAAGACACAACATTTACAATCTGAGTACGACGTTTCGCCAGTAATTACAACTAGTATCAGGCGACAGCCAGATTTGTGGAGAAATCCTCCCGTTTCGTTCCTTAAATATCGGGGTAGGTGTGATGACGTCACTGCTGAGCACTTCCTGAGTCCATGTGGGTGGGTGGGGTGGATTAACGGCTAATAAACTGCAGCGTGAAGTGTCTCCGTCACTGCGGGGGGGGGGGCAGTGTTTGGCAATTGCTGAGGCTTCAGATTCCGACAGCACCAACAAAAGCCTAGCGAGAAGAAAATCATCTTAGAGTCGGCGTTTGCACTGAAGGGCCATTTTTTTTGGGAGGGCGGTTAGATGGCGGAAAAGCTCAGAGTCACTCGAAAGTCAGGTTGTAGAGGTGAGTTGTTAAGTGTCTCTTGAAGGAGTTGATGGAGGTGATTCTGCGAATGTGCAGAGGGGATGGCGTTCCAGACTGTGGGGGCAGCCACCGAGAAGCGGCGCATAGCCGTGACCGTCCTGGATCTTGATATCGAGAGGAGGTCATCAGTCGCACTGTGAAGCAATCTGCCGTGTGCTGTGCTGCAAGTCGTCACTAGTGAAGAGAGGTAAGGGGTTGGGTTATTAATTACGCGACCTAGCCCAACAAAACCCCCCTTCATCGCGGATATTGGTCGCGAAAGTCTACTCGCGCGTTAAACTCAGGAACACCGCGGGGGGACGGGATTCCCGTGGCGTTTCTCAGTCCGGCGTTATGCTCTGCCAGCGTGCGTGCGTTTCCTTGTAAACGGCAGAATTCCGACAATGCAAATGGTGCCCTGTCAATGACAATGGCGGCCATAATGAGGGGAACGTATCTATGGGCGAAGTCAGTTTTTGTATTAAACTTTTTTGCTTCTCAAAAAACCTCTGTGCGCACAGGTGCGTGCGCGTACGCATGTTTAATGGTATGCACAGCGTTGAATAAAAGACCGGATTTCATTCAAGAAGGCTCTCATGGTAGAAACTGTGGAATTTCCATAATTGCCATTGGGGTTCACACACTTTTTCTCGGCACTGTTCGTTGAACTTCTTTCGCACCGTACATTGCCAACCGTGCTAAGCGGAGGTGCGGGGTTCCCGAAGTATCTCGGCTAACCCCACCTGTTACCTTTGCCCCAGATACCTCTCCTTCTCTGATTGGTTGTTACTTTAACCGTGCTCGTACCCGTGATTCCCTTTCCCGGCCAACAGGTGTCATCCTGTCATTACAATAGTATAAGGCGGTGGTGAGGCCGGTGCTGTTGTATGGGGCCGAGTGCTGGGCCACAAGACAGAGGGAGGACCGAAGCTATGGCAGCCACAGAGATGAGGATGTTGCGGTGGATGTTGGGCTAAACAAGGACGGCGTGAGAAAGGAAGAAGCGAGAGGAAGACTCAAGGTGGTAGACATCACAGGGAAGATGAGAGAGAGAAAAGGCTCTGGTGCGGTTCGGTCATGTAAATAGACAACAGGAAAATGATGTGGGTCAAAAGGTGGCGAGTGATACAGGTGGAAGGAAAGAGTTGAAGAGGAAGGCAGAAGAGGTTGGTGGGGGGGGGTGATGTGGTGCGATCGGTGGCCCGAGGAGCGGAAAGAGAGATGGCGCAGGACAGGGCAGCGTGTGGAGAAGGTTGGCAAGGACAGTGGGACAAACGCGTGGAAGATGAAGACGAATGAACATACTTAAGCGTGCACTATCCTTGTCACATTTCATTCATTGCCTGGCTTCCTCGGGAAACGGGTGAAAACAGTGTTTGTAAACACATTCACTTGCATAATTGTGAGCTGGTGAGAGATTAGGTGTGTGCAATGACGGATGTTGGCACACAAGCTACTCACATTTAACTACTCATAATTCTACACCGTTTTGCCTCGAAACATAAATTACGCTTCAGTGAAAGGGCCTTTTGATTACGGGAAAGGCAGATGACATTAAGTAGGGTTGAATGGGCATTTGGTGTTTTGGAACCAAAGTAGCGGAACGGATTACATAGAGTGGCAGGATATATGACCAGTGCGCACACATTTTATAAATTTAAGACGACATTTAGAAAATATATTGTTTTTGAATATTGTATTCAATGTGCACTCGCTTCCTAAAGAAGAATAAAAAAACATGTTAAATAACGTTTAACTCATGCACCTTCGAGATATCTCCTGCGTGGCAAGTGCAGTATGAATAATACTTGATGATGACAATGACGTTGCATGACCATTCAAGTATTGCAACGCTGCGCTATATATAAATCTCTATATCGATGGCAACGAAGATGGGTCTGGTCTCATCGCGGCACCACTCTCACTTGAATACACGAACCCCGTGGCATTGAGGCAGCTGTTTCACACTCCCCTCTGCTGTCCACTCCGTGATGTTGCGTATTTGGCTGTCTTTGCCCCCCACGCCCCGCCACCGCTCCCCATTGTTCGGGAGAAAGAGAAAATCTCGCCCTGGATGACAACCATGGGCGTGACGGTGAGTCACCCCCACCACCCACCCCAGCCCTATACACGGCAGCTGCGAGACATCCAGGACATTGAACGTCGTCATCGCTTGAACACGCGTTCCAGTCGAGAAGCCGGTGCGTGTGGACTCGTCACGAGACATGTTGCGAGTTCACACTTGCGGCCTTATATATTTCCACACACGCCCACGCCCCGTGTGTATGTGTGTGGTAAAGTTCACGAGCGTGAACCACTCCTCGACTGTTAAGGTCGTGCGCTGTGTTGGGTATTTTTGTTTCTGCCGATCAAACGAATCAACACAATGGCCCACAGCGCTCCTCCCGAGTCATGAATAAGTTCTGGGCGCCGCTTAATTTCTCACTCGATATTTCACAGAACACTGTAAGAGCGGTCAAGCTTAGAGGTAGGGATTAGAGTACAAGTTAAGCCTATCCATAATACAGGAAACCCCCGATGTACGTCCCCTCCCCTTTACGTCGTTTCGCAATTACGTTGTCACTTTATTAATACCACGAACCCGATTTGCGTCGTCTCAACCTCCACACTTACGTCGCTGACAGCGTCGCCGTCCGTCCCGACGTCTCGTTTACCCGTCGCCTCTCAGCCTCCTCCTCCTCCACCCGCAGCCTCCCTCCCTAGCCCCTTTACATCGCTTCCACTTATTACGTCGTTTCGATATGCGTCGTCGCCGCCGCACCTTTCAGGAACGCATCCCCGACGTAAACCGGGGGTATTACCGTAGTGATCCTATATCGTTGTCACCCTATACTCCTATAAAACATATTCTTAGGTGTTTTCGGTAAAGTCACGTGGGTAAAAAATTAAAATTAATAAAAGTAAAATAAAAATCACGACGTTTCGGAGGCAAGACAAGCTTCCGTCTTCAGGTGGAACCGTCACAGCACGCTTGCTGTATCAAGTGAGATAAATTCTTGATACAGCAATCGTGCTGTGACGGTTCCACCTGAAGACGGAAGCTTGTGTTGCCTCCGAAACGTCGTGATTTTTATTTTATTTTACTTTTATTAATTTAAAATTTTTACCTACGTGACTTTACCGAAAAAACCTAAGAATATGAATCCTTGCAGTCACGAAAGCTTCAAATCTAGAATCCTATAAAACACTTTGAACAGATCTGTGAAACGACACCAACGCAATATAACGAGGACAAAAATTAAGGCCGCGAGATGGATGTGGCGTGCCAAAAATTAATTCGTGGAACGGAACAGCGTTCCCCCAAATGCCCCGTGTGTCGTGAAGGACCGGCTCCGATGTGCGGGTCAGTGAGTGTTCACACTTTGAACCTCGTTCCGCGTTTACACAACAACGACACCTGGAGAATCCGCACGTGAATGTCCCGTGGGGCTCTGCGCGTGCCACACCTTGAACATCTTCGCGCTGGAATCAACAGCGACTGCAAATTCTTTCGTTGTTGTTGTTGTTTTAAACTAAACTATGTTTTTTTTTACCAGGTAGAGTCCACTGAGCCATATATCATAGCTCTTTTCTCAGAAGCGACCTGGCTATAATAAATGATAGCCCAACGAAGTGGCTTATCGTGTGGAAATGTATAGCAGCCAAATACTCTATAAACGCGTGTTTGTTGATTCTAAATGTGGAGGGGGGAAAACCTCGGAGGACCCGGAGAAAAATCAACGCGACCACGGGGAGAGAGACGCGCAAACTCCACATATACAGCAGCAGGCATTGTCAGGGATCGGGATTGAACTCACGTCCTCCTGCATACCAGGCGAGGTAGTGAACATCTCCTAGCCACCGTGATGATGCTGAGAGAGAGAGACACACACACAAACTCCAAATATACAGCAGCAGGCGTCAGGGTCAGGCTCGATCCCACGACCTCCTATATACCAGGCGAGGTAGTTAACATCTCCGAGCCACCGTGATGATGCTGAGAGAGAGACACACACAAACTACAAATATACAGCAGGCGTCAGGGTCGGTATCGAACCCACGACCTCTTGTATACCAGGCGAGGTAGTTAACATCTCCGAGCCACCGTGGCATCCCAACGGCAGGGTAAGGGGCCCATCGTGTGACGGACGGATCATCGCGTGACTTGGGGAACAATCGCCAACGGGAACCGCCGCCCGTATAGTAGTCTCAAGTGCTGTTAGCGAGCACCTATGAAGGTAGCAACTCCTGGCGGCACACAGTCCACCAGGCCACCTCCTTTTTCGAAGATACCCGCAGGGCCCGTATGGAGGACAAAAGGAGAAGGAGGAAGAACCATGATCCCTCAGCACCCATCCCAGATGAGACCTATACTTGCAGCTGTTGTGGCAGGACCTGCTTGTCCCGCATAGGCCTCTTCAGCCACCAGCGTGCCTGCAGAAGACGTGGATGTCCTTCCTAGATCTTCGTTCGCGAAGCCAAGCCATGATGATGATGAAGGTAGTGTACCGGTTATCGCGCTGCACTACGAAGCCGGCGACCCGAGGCTGTGTCCTACTCAAGGCCAACAGCCAGTGACGATTATCTGGACCGGTGCTGGGCCTCCCCTAGGTCGACTCAAACTCAAATGAGTACCTTGTGTGGTGTGTAAAAATCATCGCCGTTGGGGAGACAAATGCGGTCGGGCGTGGTGCTGGCCACCCACCCCATCGTGTGCCGTGCCGGCCTTCATAGGTGCTCGCTAATAGCACTTGCCCCAATAGCCTGTAACAGGCTATGCGGGGGATCTTCGTCTTTGTTATATGGTACGAACAGGGTTGTGGTGCACAGTGTATTGTATTTACATCTGGAAGGGCTACAGGAAGAAGCAGATCGAGTGCTCCTCCACGCTGGCGAGACCCGTCTGGGGAGAGGTGGGAATACCCACACTGTACCCCACCACAGCGACCACATGATCGACTGTGCCATTCTCACGAATACTGCCCATCGACTAACTGTGGCATTCTCACGTACACTGCGGGGTAGACACGTGTGTTCATTGGTATACCGCCACCCCCCCCTATATTACTCATCAGCCATGATCTATCCACTGCTGAGTTCTATATAATATTAAAGAAAAAAAATCATTACATACAGATCACCGCCATCGTCAACTCAACTTATAACGCAATTTATTTACCGCGAATGTAGCTTTTTATTTCCCCGTGTTATGTAAAACGAACACTACTTCCCCATTCCCTTTTTAAATCGTCAAACTTCCTGCGGCTACATGACCGGCGGCGAGGCCGAGGCAATGCTATTTCACACCGATGTGCACGTTGCCAAATGTGGCGACACCTCTTGTCATCCTTTGCGAGAGCCGACGTTGAGTCGACTCTATACTGAGAGCCAAAACCCCGGCAGCTT